CTTTTGCGCCTGGCTTATTCTTGTATGATGACGATGGAGGTAGCACATTCCTCTGAAACGTTGCTAAAAATCTACCTGACCATATGGCATCACATCCTAGAAGAGATTAATCAACTGTAAAGCTATTAACTGAGTAAATGCTAATCATGGTGACTCAAATTTGAAGGCAACTAAGAATAATCAGGAAATGAATAACCTCAACCTCGCCACATGGAATGTATAAAACACCAACAGGATGAACTAGGCCTGCTTACAAACACACTGCACATATTTTCTCATACAGACTGCATACCACTGATGCAGTTTTATTTAGAGATAATCTTGGTACGTAAGTAAAGTCCCTATGCTTAAGCACTACGCCACGAAGGCGTATGGGATAGTGGATGTATAGATCCACCTTTTCTTGACCTCGGACTAGCTGGACGTGGTCAGGAAGAATGCAGTCTTGTGGGATGTGGCGCCGTGTAGATCTTGTGTAAACCGACGTTTACGCTCACGCTGGTTCTTCTCTAGCGGATTTTTCTACCCTGAAGATGGAGGCGATACGTTCCTCCGAAACGTCGGTTTACAAGAAATCTACACGGAGCCCCATTCCAGAAGATGGCAGTAAAAACCTCAAATATTACATCGTGAGTGGTCAGCTTCGCGCACCAGCCACTTTACCCCTGGTACCCCTTGGGTAGGAGGTTGGGTGGACCCCAGAGCCAGTCTAATGACGTAGAGAACAAAAAATTCTTGACCCTCAAGGGTCTCGAACTTCTACCCCTTGGTTGTCCAGCCTGCAGCCAGGCGCCATACCGACTACACTATCTTGGATCAACAATCTTGATAAATGACTGGAATTCAGTCGAAGTCATTGTAACTGTTTCTGAGGAAGTAGCCAATTTGTGTTTGGAGGCCTCTAGTCATGGGCCTCCATTTTTGGTGCTAGAAAATTCATATTCGCCAGACACTGGCCTATTATAGATAAGTATGTAAAGGTATCCCTGTAACAGGCCGTGAAGGCCCACAGGGTTGTGAGATGTTGAGGTTCCCACATTTTCTAGACAATCGGCCCACAGATGGCGGTAAGGTTGTCAGCCGTATGCACTGGCCGCCCTTTTTTTTCCCCTTGGCACTACAGCCCCAGTGGGCCTAGGCCTACCTCCATGAACTCCGTTCACTTCGGTTTTTCTAGATCTTACACATACGGTAGGACTCCTTGGGCGAGTGATCAGATCGTCGCAAGGCCTCTCCCTGTAGACAAACACAGAAAAACGCACACAAACATCCATGCCCTGAGTGGGATTCGAACCCACGATCTCGGCTTCCGAGCGAGCGAAGACAGTGCATGCCTTAGACCGCTCGGATACCGTGACCGGCCTGGCCGCCCTTTACCCCCAGAAATATTCCTGGTACTCATTTCTGTCAGATGCTGAGTAGACCCCAGGGCCACAGCGCGGCTGGAAGGATTAGGTCAATTGAAAAAATCCACCTCATCAGGATAAACATTTAAATATACTGTAGGTATGCCTGGATTAATGTGACAGTTGTGGTCCACACCAAATTTGTGGAGGGTGAGACTGCATAAATCAGACATAAGTTTATACTGCATTGAAGGCTTCCTTACCCTCTCGAAGATAGTAGCAGATGCACAAAAAACGTAGCATGGCTAGGGCAAATTTCTCTTCTCCCTTCCTCTCTTAATTGGCCAGCAAGCAATTTGCATGACATTGGTCTGAATTAGTGGGGTACTGTACATTAAAATGAAACTGCATTTTTTGAACTAGCATAAAAGTACCTGTACTGAAAATGAATAAAATGTCCAACTGTTCAGGTGCTAGCGAGGAGCACGTAGTGACATATATATATATATATATACAGACATACAGATGGCATTCCAAAAACCACATCTGCATATTCAGGCATGTTGGAAATATGTAAATCCATAAAAATCTTGAAACTGATTTCTTTCACCACCATTCTACTCTCTCATATCCATATATCAGAAAGAAAAAATTGCAGCAGTCTATGAAGAGAGAAAAGGAGTTTCAGAAGAAATAATTACATTCAATGAGTGAGCAACAGATCCCTGAAGACAGTATTCTTTCTGTAAAGCTATTAAATGGGAAGATGCTAATCACGCTGACTCAAGCTTGAATGTAGTAAAAAATATGAAGTAAGGACCTCACTTTTGCCACATGGAATGTATAAGGAATTTCATTTAAATAAGACAAATTGAATGATATACTAGTAAAGAAAAATGTATGTATTTATGCAAACTATGGAATATCATCAGATTCACTACAGACAACTGTGCTTTCTTGAACAAACACATCAATGAAACAAGGTTCAAAATTACAAGATGTTACTCAGCCATAACAAACAAATGTTTTGGTAGAAAAGAAAGGAAGAATGTATCACTTTACAAATTATTATAAAATTTAAATCACTCAATCAGACATGTTAGAACTAACGGGAGAATTTAACACATAAACAAGCTATACATACATACATACATAGCATTCCATAGATCCATGAGTTAGTCAGATGACCTACCGGATGTGGAATTTGTCAAAAATCATACAATACATATATACATGCACAATTCAATTTCACATAAATAGTAAGGATTTCACAAAAGTAGTAAAATATCCATCATAAATCCATACATTAACATATACTAGATTTTTTTTTCCTGTGTTCCAAACAAGAGAAAACATTACATACACTTTATGTTGTTTGGAAGCATAAATTCCTCAACAGAGTAAAAGGAGTGTGTAATTAAGTATCTCTTTAGTGCTACTTTAAATTGTCCCTGTTTATCTATAAGAGTTGTGATATTTGGTGGTAGATTGTTGAAGATTTTAATGCCAGTATAATATGCACTCTTCTGGAAACAAGAGAGGCTGGCAACTGGTCTGTGAAGCTGATTTTTATTCCTTGTGTTGACNAAAACCATTCAATGTGAGGACAATATGGCAATTCAGCAACACTATGTTGCCATGTATTTTAGTCCATTACTCATATTATGCGCTAAATACAGCTGAAACTGCTTCAGACTGACAATTGATAGAAGCAGTTGCCTAATTCTGAATGTCCCGATTATGAAATTACAACACTATAACAAATTCTGGGCAGTATAAAACTGTAGCTGACAATTGTCTAGTGCCAGGGAGTTGTCCCTGTCTCTAGGGAGCATACAGTAAAGCTTACACATTCTAAACCCCCCCACAGGTTGGAGGTGAGCCGTCAGTTTCATTATCCAGGCATTTCACTTCTGATGAAAGATTTCCAGTATCTACTGAAGACTGGACAGCTCAAGCTCATAAATTCTAGAGCTCAACACAAGATGGAGATGAGCAGTCAGTTTAATGATCGAGATGTTTTAGTCTTGATGAAGGTTCCTCAGTATCCAATGGAGACTGCTGTTGCCGCTCACTTCTTTGGGCCCTTTACGTTGGGCGCCACGCTTTTACCGTCCTCCCTCTTCTCGTGGATGTCGAGATGTTAGATGGGAAGGGAGGAGAATTGTGGATGTTGGAGCTATTAGGCGAGAGCTCGCTTCTGGTACACCCTTAGGTGTCTCGCGAGTAGGTAAAGACAGGAGTATCTGGGTTCTGTTTGGTAATTGTTAGAGCTGAGTTCATATCCCGGGTCTTATACGGGTCTGGCTCGGGCAGGGCAGGAAGAACCTTTCTCTACAATCACACACACCTCTTTAGACCATTGCACTTAGTAGTCAATTAATTCCCTCCAGCTTACTGAATACAAATGAATTTATTAGTACGCTTATTTGGAACTTTACTTATAATACTTTTACAGAAGGGCCATAGTCGTAAATTTTGTGTCCGACTTTGCCGAAAGTTGGATGAAGACTCCTCGAGGTGGAATGCTCTCTCTCTCAATCCTGAGGTCCACGAACCCCAGACTCCAAGAGAAATCCACTCCTCCACTTCTGCCACTGGTTAAGTTTTCAAACTAGGAGGTTCCCTAAATTTTGAATTCCCAATCATGTTGCTTTGCTATGTGATTCTGGCAGATGCTGACCTGACGCTAAGGTTGACAGCCCCTTGATGCATTTCGACCATGGGATGAGGCTCCGGCCATCCCACTTCTAAGTTATCGCTGTCTGAAGCTGTCAGCTCTCAAATTCTCAAAGACTCTCCAACTTTGCTGAAACTGCCAGAATTCCAGGAAAGTACCAGATGTTACTTACTGTCCACATAGCAAATTTGAACTATGTCCCTTCTGCATGTAAGTGCTGGCTATCTGCTGGATCTCTTTGTTTGTAATTTTGTAATCTTAACTTAATACAGATATAATTAATGCACAACAGACCTCCAATCAGTATGAACGGTTACACTGGACAGCTCAAGCTCACATAACCTAGACCTAAATATGAAGGGGGACCCAAAAATAACCGGAAACGACCTGTTGCGCGTGCATGCTTTGTAGTTACGAGTTGTGCTGCTAGGTGGTCTCCCACGACTGTTAGTGAGCTGGCGTCAGTCTGAGTTAAGTGGTTTGTCTGTGGTGCTCTGTTGTGTGCGTTCCTGTTTCAACCCTTTGGCGATTAGTGAGATGGCCTACCAGAAGGAACAAAGAGTGTGTGTGAAATTTTGCTTTCTGTTAGGGAAAACTGCACTTCACTCTTCAAGTCGCGGCAAACATTCACGCGGTTTTCTCTTTGGTCATCTCCGAGCAAGCGAGGAACAAATTTTGCAGACACCAGTCTCATGTGCAAACCTTCGGTTAAAATTCGCTGGACCGTGCTCCATGAGATGTTCGTTTCCTCAGAAAGTTGGTCAATGGTCTTTCGATGATCTTCATCAATTTCACGCACACTCTTTGTTCCTTCTGGTCGGCCATCTCACTAATCGCCAAAGGGTTGAAACAGGAACGCACACAACAGAGCACCACAGACAAACCACTTAACTCAGACTGACGCCAGCTCACTAACAGTCGTGGGAGACCCCCAGCTAACACCACCTAGCAGCACAACTCGTAACTACAAAGCATGCGCATGCAACAGGTCGTTTCCGGTTATTTTTGGGTCCCCCTTCATATAAGCTGCAGGAGAGCAGTCAGTTTCATAATCCAGCTGTTTCACTCCTGAGGAATGATCTCTGGTATCCGATGGAGACAAGACAGGCCACGCAGCTGACCTGGATGTGCAGGTAAAGAAAATGACTGATCTTACCAGGATTCAGACCCTGGTAATACAACCTACTCAGTAATTTTATTCATGACTATCTGATCTCAAGCCCATAGCTGTTTTCATGAAAGATGACTTACTGACAGTTTCAAAGCATTCCGGACACAACAGGAAAGGCAATTTCATATCAGCAAGCTCCAGATCACTAATTATTGTTTTACTGTGCATTGTTGTTGTTATTATTATTATGCTCACTGGAATCAATCACTTGTCAAGAAACTGCTGTAATTAAAAGTAAAATAAAACATGGCCCATTAAATGAAGCAAATTCTTTTAGAAGCTGATAGCATTCTCTGCCTTTTATAGTCATTACTGTGTCCTCAAAAGCCTGTCAGTGGGGCCTATCCAAATTGGGGGATGGTGCCAAAAAGCCACATATAATGTCCTTTGCTACACAACGCCTAAAATAAGAACACATGCTGCAGCTGCAACGAAAACATAGGCAGATCGCTATCTAGGAAATTGCCTAGGCAACAGAGACAAACCTGTTGAGCTCCTGCAGCAATGGATACGCTAGCCAATGTTGTGTCGAAGACAGAGAGACCCCTTGGACAAGGTGTTCTCTTGGCAGTACGCAAAGATCTACTTTAAGAGGGTAAATTGCGAAAGATAAGATCAGACCAGGGTGGAGATCAGATAGAGAAGCCAGAGGAGAACTGACAGAAGCCTTCATGCGGCATAGTTACAAGGAACATTAGAGTGTGATCATGGTTCGCAGCTATGAAGTGATATAATTATCACGTGTGATAATTGTCTGTATCTCCGCCTGGTGTAATTCTCCAATAAACAGCTTCATCTAAAGCCGCAACCCAGTAATTATTTATCACAGATACCCAGACACATGAACATATAGTATCTTTAATTTCAAACCAAGTTCAAACCTATCAACTCAGACAATTATACTAAAAGATATATTACTTCCATTTCTTTCCTGCTCTCAAGTTCCTCAAGAAATGGAAGTATTTAAGAGTGGAAGATTTGTTCTACAAAAAAACTACCTTGCAAATTCAGTTTACCCTTTCTGGTTATCACCATCAAGTGAGGGCAGGCCTACATAAAATATGCTTCTACGCCTAACTTTCATAGACTTGTACTGCAATAATGCATTGGCCATGTGTTGCATTTGTTTAACACTACTAAATTACCAGTACCAAAATGAAGCCACCAGATAAAAAGTACCAGGGGACTTAAAATTCCATTGTCAAACAAAAAAAATGTAACGTTGTGGCCCATGCCACATCATCAGAAGGAGAGATGTGTTTGATAGGAGCAGAATATTGAAAATACACTATTATTTTGTATTATATAATTAGATACTGTTACAACTGATGCGTAATGATTAATTATTTACATCTTTTCTTACTTAACCCTACATTAGCAAATGTAGAAAAGTGACATAAATAAGACTGCATGGATATTATATTCACGGAAATTATACAAAACAAATTCTGTAATTCTTTTTGCAGGCCTGTCAAAGATTTCTGTGTTTGAATGTGATGGACACATAAATTGACATATTCCAAAGAGTAACATCAGAGCTTCACAGGCTGTGTTTGGGCACATCTTGTTATTACATACATCTTTAGATTAAAAGAACTGTATAGAATTTGACATTTATGAAATGGTATAAATTAAATAACTCAAAGCCTTGAAGTCTTTCATTCACAATACTGCTCATGAGTCTCAACTCAGTAAGTTATACTACTAACATCAAATCCCATAGATGTGAACAGCAGCCCTGGCTGTCCCGGAACAGAAAGAGACTGAAATTCATATCCCGTTGATGTGGATCCTTGTTGGGAAATAGCTGACACAGGTATCTGAATAGCTGACATGGGCAGCTGAATGTGGAGTGGAACATTGTTACTTCTGCTTGTTACTGCATCGGTTGATGGGACAGGATTATCTGGCTGAGCAGCTGTGAGTTGGATGTACTGGGATGTCACATCATCAATCAAGGGGGCCAAGTGAATAGCATCTGCTACAGTAAATACAGTATTGGGAGGGAGAGCCTGGTTCTGTCCAGGGTCTAACTGAAGCAAAATTCGTGAACTGTTTGTGGTGGTATTTCCACTATGGGTAAGTGCAGTCTGGACACCCTGTGTCTGGGATGGATCTATCTGCAACAGAATCCTACTTGGGCTTGAGTCTCTTACACTGTTATTCTGGGAAAGAGGCTGTTGGTGCTGGGTAGTATCTAGTTGCACAATTATCTTTGAATTAAAACTATTTGCATTGTTGTTCAAAATAACAGGTTGGTTTTGTATTTGTGTTGGGTCCAACTGCACTAATATCTTTGAATTTGAATTTTCCTGGGTAATTGGCATATTCTGCATTTGCATCCTGTTCAACTGTACTAAAATACTTGAGTTTGTTTTATCTACATTTTCACTTTTAATAACTACTTTACTGTCTTGTTGTTGGTTCGAATTTAGCTGAACCAGAATTTTAGACTTGTCACTATCAGCTTGAGAATCTGTCTGTATGGAGTCCACATTCATCGGCTCTGTTAACTTTTCAGTGGCTGTGGTGTGTTCTGGTGTTGCTGCCACTGTTTCATTGGCCTCATTTGGATCTGCTATTGGTGGTGGGTCATCAGGGTCTTCATTGTCATTTTTATCGCATGATAAATGGGTTTCTGACACATTTTCATTCAAAACACGTGGGGAAGCTGCTAATGTTGTAACGGAGGCAACAGAGTCTGGGTGCTGCTTCCTGTGAAGAAGTTGAGAACTACAGTGAAGATGTGAAGGTTAATGAGATAAACCTAATGTTCATAATAAAATCCATTAACCATAAAATGCCAAATCAACAGTTTAAACCAAAATGAGTTACAGATTTATATGAATTTTAGACATATAATTAACCTATGCATTGTCACGGGAGAAACTGCTGGTGCCAAACACACAGAGCACTGTAACACCGGTTTCTTACTTTCACACATTTAACAGAAAGAAAATTAGAAATTAACATTTTCGATACAAATTCAATTTTAAAGTTTATATACATGTAAAGCTGCTCCTTGGCCTACACTATGCACCATACCATGAAGCAAGGGTCTCCAAACTATGGCCCGCCATGTGATTTTATCTGGCCCGCGAAAGAATTGTGGAGAAATGTGCCAATTGATCTAATTTTCCAATGAGTACTGGTAAAAAAAATACTTGTTCATAGATTTCAAATTCATTAATTAAGACTGTGTTTAAAATATACTGATATTCCATATTATGTTAATATTAATATTATTCACAATATTACTAATTCTGGACCGTATACTGCGTGGTATTTCTTCGTATTTGTTCGGCCTCGATAGGCAGTGTCACTTCGTGGCAATGTAGGTAGCGCGAGCAGTTCATTACTAGCTGTCTTGTGCACAAGACTTCTTGCAGTGGTGCAGTGTAATTGTAACAGATCATCATCACCTCAATTTAATCAGATTTTAAGAATGCAAAAAGAGTTCCATCATTCACATTAATTGTTTTATTATAATCTGTGATGAAAATATGGGCATCTGTTGTCATTAATATACGATAATTTATTCTCACGTGCTTTGTATTTAGTTTATGAAATTCTGTGCTTTAAATAAAACTCATATACCTAGAGTTATTAATTTCTCATTTTATCCAGCCTGTTGAAAGTGCTGAATTATCTAATGTGGCCTGCGTTTTGAAAAGTTTGGAGACCCCTGCCATAAAGGACCACAGAGGTTTGAAGGTAAACCCCAACATGTTCTTAACCTTGCTAATGGAAGTGAATGGTGGCTTCACACTCGAACTGTCTTATATAGAGATAAAGGAATAATAATATATACATGTGCGGTATAGAAAACTGAGATTAACGGCCGTGGAAATCCATTGTGCTGACCATGTGCTGACCCTCTATCCACGCACACCCGCTCTCTCTCTCTCTAAAATCCATTCAGATAAAACTACACCACAGCAAAGGAGCTACTGCAACTTTATGCAAGCAGCCATCTGAGGGAAGGGTAGATGTAGCACTTATTCAGGAACCTTGGATATACAGGGGCCAAATAAGAGGTTTAACTGATACAGGGGGAACACTTTATTCTGTTGCACCTGAAAATAATGAAAGATTCTGTATTTATGCCAGGAACCATATTAATGCCTTACCTTTGCTGGTGTTTTGTTCTAGGGATGCAACAATGGTGAGGATAACACATGCATATGGCAGAGGATGTGAGGAGCTGATGGTTGCTTCAGCCTACCTCTCATATGATTCAGAATCACAACCAACCACTGACTACTGCTACAGCAGAAAAAAGCACTTTATCACTGGGGGCGATGCCAACGCACAACACATTTTGTGGGGGAGCACTGGCATCAATCCAAGACGGGAAAGCCTCATGGAATTTCTGGTGAGTTCGAACCTCAATATTCTCAATCATGGTAATGAACCAACCTTTGTGGTCTGAAATAAGAAGGTTACTGACTTGACACCAGGGACAAATAGGAAACCTGGTAAGTAATTGGCATGTATCTGGCGAGCCGTCTCTATCAGACCACAGATACATATGCTTTCAAATTGGTAACATAACAACAATAGGAGTTACCTTTAGGAATCCCAGGAGAACCAATTGGGAGTCACATAAAGAGAACTTAATGTGAATCTGGAGATTATTTCACGAAGTATATGCACAATAAGGGACACAGATCGATCTGTTGACCAGTTGCAACAGGCCATCATCTTGTCCTATTATCAAAATTGTCCAGCCAAAACCACTCGCTCACCAAGGAATAAAAAGCTGAGTGGGCTAAGAGCTAAAACAAGAAAGCTATTTAATATAGCAAAAAGAACAGGGCTGTGGGACACCTACAAGGAAACCCTCACCTATTATAACAAAGAAATAAGAAAAGCCAAATGATCCTCATGGAGGAGGTACTGCCAGGAGATTAATGATGTACCAGGACGTGCCACACTCATGAAGATCATGGCAAAACAAGCGACCAACAGGGTTATCACTAGTAAGCTACCTGATGGTCAGTATACTTAAACTGGAAAGGAGACACTGAAAGAGCTATTCTGAGTTCACTTTCCTGATTCAAAGATGATTGATAATTCAAATGATGAACAGGGTCAGCAGACCCTGGCCAAGCATGTAATCAATCAATCAAAAATCAGATGGGCACTAGGCATCTTCAGACCATTTATATCTGCGGGAACAGATGGAATCATACCGGCACTTCTGCAGTAAGGGGCGGAACACTCAGTCCCACACCTGTACTGCATGGCATATGGATTTATCCCCACCTGGAGGCAAGATAAAGTGACATTTATCACAAAGCCCAGGAAACTTGATTATACTGAGGCTAAGGCTTATCGTCCTATTAGCCTGTCATTTTTGCTTTTGAAAATGATGGAGAACCTAGTGGACAGGCACATTTGGGATGGTGCATTGAATAAGTATCCTCTACACCAAAACCAGTACACTTACTAAATAGGTAATCTACTCTAATTGCACTTCACAATGTGGTTAACATGCATACAAAGTGCTAGTGACATAGAGGTATTCTGATACAACCTTACAACCTCTCACACACGCACATACTAGTCCTCTCCCGGTAACACAATTATAACACAGGAACCATAAAGGTCTCACTTCACTCTTTGACTGGTACGAAGAGTATTTAAATGCCACTCCTGTCCTGGCAGACCCTTTAAGCTTCAAGTTGCTAAAATGCATGTGTTTACTTTTTATATAACTTCAACAAAATTGGTTTTTAAAAACGAAATTTTCAGGAACTAATAAAAAGACAACATTTTATGCAAGAAATGTCTTTTCATACCTTTTTAGTAGTTTTTCTTCGTGTGATAAACATTGAAACAGGAAAGTTTGCAGACAGCCACACCACAGCTTGCACACATGACACTTGCTTCTTTTCTAATCTTGTGCTTAGCACACACGTGACACTTTTTCATGCACCATTCTTCTTCTTGTTACTGGGAGGAACATGGACCATTTTGTGAATTTTCAGGCCACCCTCTAGACGATTTGCTGGGTCCTTCACTGGTGGTCTTTTCAAGGATGCGGGTGGAGGCGTGACTGCACTCAAGTCTGAAGCAATAGATTCATCATCCACTTCATTCTTTGACTCTGCTCCCTCTCCACACTGTTTGTTTGGTTCTGTCATTTTTTCTACACAGTCCAATATAAAATCTTTGAATTTGTAACTTCTCTTCTTGTATTTTTTGTTTGTTGTGTTCTTTTTGAATAGAATGAAACTATTCAATGCTGCCATTTGCAACAAGAAAAACACCAGTTTCTCTGTCCACTTTACGTTTTGCAGGAACAAGGATAATAATAGAGCATTTGATCAGCCCTGTCAACCTCTCTCATATGTTTATTGTAGTCCCAAATTACCTCAGGTCTGCATATTTTTTCTCCTTTGCAATTCGTTTTTGCAGATTCCACGATTTTTGCTGTGTGAAGAGCGGAGATAAGTTTGACGTCTCTTTTATCTCTCCACACCTGTATGAGAACCTGTCCCTTCCTAGAAAAAACAGATTCCCCTTTTTTCAAAATTTTTACATCATCCTTTAGTCCTTTAGGAGCTCCTCTGTCCATTCTGAAGGTACCACACACATCGGTATTTCTCTGTAATAATGTCTCACACAATTCTACACTACTGCAATAGTTATACTCGTAGAAATGATACCCTTTATCTAGAAGCTGTGGCCCCAACAGATCGACAACTACTTCCTTTATAGCTCTTGATTTTCCGCAATAAATTTCAAAATTCCAAATATATCCAATTGTTGACTCACAAACTAGATAAGCCTTTATACCATACTTATCAGGTTTGTCAGGCATATATACTTGGAAGGTAAGACGTCCTTTCCAAGCGATCATTCCTTCATCTATTGCAATTTCCTTTTCAGGGATATATGTGTTTTCTAAATTTCCCCACTAATGAGTCTATAATTGGCCTAACTTTATACAGGCGATCTTCACAGTCAGCTGGTTGTGCATCGCTGTCTGCAAAATGAACAAATTTCGAGATCTGTTGGAACCGCCGCAAAGACATCTTTTGTCCATACCATGGAGTGTGAAAGAGGGGCCTAGTGGACCAATATTCTACAATATCGGGGAGTTTGTCAATTCCTGTCATGAACGCAATTCCTAAGTATGTCCACATTTCATCTGGTGTGACATATTTGTAACTGTGTTCTCGAGAGTGAGGAGCTAATTCATGTCTGTTGAAGTGCTGGTGAGCATAGCGATTGGTTTCAGTTGTGATGTGATTTACTAAGTTGTCATCCAGAAAAATTTTAATCCATGAAAAGGGGTGTATTTTATGTTATATCAATTTCGATTCTGGAACTACTAGGAAATGGAACTATTGTCATCTCCGTACGTCCATGAGATGGGCATGTCAGGCACCGCACTTGTGGTGGCTAAATGTTCATGATTATTGTCTTGTGGATCATTGTCTATCACTGTATTATTGTCACTATCAACTTCATCTAATTCAGGAATCATTATTTCATCGCCACTTTCATCATCAGCACAAATCTCGTTCACAACACTTTCCAGCTGGTCTGTAGGAACACTCCAACACTTGCTGCTAGAAGCCATGGTGAAACTGAATGACTGTGAAATATTTTCTGACCTTTCCTTCTCGGAGGGTTCTGACAGTAATATAGACCCCCACAAAGTTTACAGGGGTTCTTTACAACCATGCACAAAAACTATCATAAATATGTCTCTGGTTGACGAGTGCCAAGACAGCAAAGAAGGGAAGAGTGTATCAAAGCGCTAAAACACGCCAACGCCAGGGAACGGCTGGCATCGTCTGGGCATAAAAACGCTCCCGCACCAGTCAAAGAGTTAATCAGACACTCTAGAGATTATACATAAAGTGTTCTCTTCATAGCCACACTCTTTTCCATGACAGCTGTGTGTATTTGACTCATGGATTCTCAGCTGTGACTACTTGCCAATGACCTTTGTTGTCCTCTGTCAACCTTCGGCATGGACCACGCACAGAAAACACTATCTATTATTGTAGACATGTTTACGGTTCTGTTGCCTAGCACGGGTATGGCGTGGACCACATGAGTCATGTAATTTTTACCCAGTGAGTTCTCTGGTGTGCTGACTGCTGCCAAGCAACGAGTTATAATATTTGTTCTGTTGTTGCATGTGTGTATCACAGGGTGTTTATCGAGCCATTGCCTGGCAATGTGTTGACATGTCACAACATAATAAAATAGGCTGTTGAGAAACATGGCACTGAGCCCGCAATATGCAGATGGATCTGCGCTATGCTGAAAAGCAGGAACAATGTCAGGAGAGACCACGGGAATGTCTGTGGCCAGAGGGTGTCCATACGGAGGTGTGCTTTTGCCTCTGCTGTGAAGCCTGGTCATGGATGATCTTCTTTGGGAACTCAACAGCAATGGTCATTAAACAGCAGGATATGCTGATGATACAGAAATCACTATTAATGGGAAATTCCTTCAGACTGTGTCAGAGGTCTTACAAACAGCCCTGTGCACAGTCCAACAGAGGTGTGAAAGAACAAATTTGTCTATCAAACCAAACCAGACAGTAATTATACCTTTTACTAGGGCCAGGAATATAAAGGGACTTAACGAACCAAACCTCTACAGCAAAATGATACAGCTATCCAGAGAAGTCAAGTACCTTGGACTAACACTAGACAGAGTGGCCTCTGTAGTCTAGAGGTAAGGTTCCCACCTCATGACTCGTAGTACGCGGGTTCAAATAGCTGGCGGAGGTCGTCGAATTTTTAAGGGCGGAAACATTCAGGGAACAAGTCCTCTGGGAGGGACTTTAACCCATGGGTCCCGTGTCGTAGCTTTACGGCATGTAAAAGAACCTCATATCTCCATAGGAGGTCACTGAGCCAAATTAACGGATGTTTCCCGCCCAACAGCAGTCTCTAATACCTCTGGTAGATGGGTCCAGAGTTTGTTCGTGGCTTGCTGTGTTGTTTTCACAACACAACACAGCAAGCCACGAACAAACTCTGGACGACATCAAGAACCTCCTCATCAAGATAGACATGTGGCACAAATTCTGCCCCATACAAGAAGGACGATAGGAGTACGGACACGAACTTACGTAATTTTAAAAATTTTTAACTATTGACAATAAAGGTTTTTTAAATAACATCTAGAAACTTTTAAAAACTTTACAGCACCAGGAAGCTGCTGTGATTGTGAAACGTTCGACTTTATGCGTACTGTGCATTATAGCATACAAGTGTGTGTATTTTAAATCAAAACACCTATTGTGATGGTAGTTTCCAGTTTGTAATGATGTTCCCTCTGAAGATGGCCCGTAAGGACCGAAACATGTAAGGGAGATAAGTTTTAAAGTAGTAAAAACTTATATGTCACATTTNGTTTGTATTTATAATTGTTAGTGTGACGGACCAGAGTGGGGGTGGGGGGGGGGGAAGTTTCTCAAATGCTGTCATTTGAAAAAAAAAAATGATGATGGATGTCCAAAATAATAGGACTTAGTAACAGACCGCTGGTGGAGAAGAATTTCATTACATGAGAAACAGAAACACAACCACCTTATGTCCTACAATGCTAATGAAGAGGCAAACTGTAGAAATCAACATACTTATTGTGAAGCTTCAGATCCCAGCCAGCAGCATATGACTTATCACAAACAGAACAATGGTAACGCTTTTCTCCACGGTGGCGTCGCATGTGTTCATCCAACTTTGACTTGCGGATAAAGCCTTTACCACAAGTCTGACACAGATGTGGTCGTTCACCTGTGTATAAATTGCATTCATTTGCAATCATTTGTAAAACAAGTTTCTCCTCAGTGATTTTCAAGAGGGAAAATGCATACCTGTATGTATCCTTGTATGGTATTTCAATTTCTCCTTCTGCCGAAACTTTTTGCTACAATAATTGCAACAGAATCTGCGTGTTTCAGTGTGAGTATCAAGGTGTGCCATTAGACTGCCATAGTTGCTAAATCTGTTTCCACACATCTGTAAATAATGAATGATTATGGGAATGTTTAACAGAATACCAAGCAAACATACCACTAACTGGCTGTTATAGAAACTTGTATTCAGTGTTACTGTACATTCTAATGAAATGAGTGTCACAAATAATCACTCTTTTGATTGCGAATTTTATGATTCTGAAATATTTAATCATGACGATTATAATAATAATTGTGTCTATAACATATCACCATATAAACGACATATGTCAAGTTACAATGATTTAGTTATCACCATTACATTTTTCATATAGGAATCATGTTATCTGTCCTGTCCTAAAAACTCATCCTATAAAAGGTCCTTTCTTTTCAAAGATCCTTCACCATAAAAAGTTTAAACATTGTACATTAAATAGCACTAGTGTTGTTCCCACCTCACAAGTTTTGTACAGCTCTGTCCAATGTCAGATCCAGTCTCATAATCTTAAAGTTAAAACTGAAAAGAAAGTAAGAAAGAAAGAAATTCGGTTTTGGTAGCCTGTCAAGTGCTAAAAAAGAAAAGATCTAAAACGGAGTCCCTTGCTGGATTAAGTCTAAACATCTGTACATCATGCTGAAGTACAACCTCTAGTGTGTTTTTGGCCTGTTTGCTAGACACCACATGTAAAAAATAACAAAGAGTTCAGAGGTAGGTCTCAAATGGTGTCCCTTTGCTTAATTAATTATGCACCATGCCATGAAGATATATAGGGGAGTAGAGGTATAGCTCTGCCATACTTGACTTTGGCACTAGATGGAGGTGAAATATAAACAAAATAATCAAGGCTACAACAAACTATCATCTTATAATAAACAAATATTAAATTCACATATCACTAACTATTCATTTAGTTGATACTTAGATTGGCAATAGAGCACTACATTAAAGGAACAAAACAAATCTGACATAATGCAGTCTAAACTCAACAGACTTTCTTTCCTAACTGTGACCATGTTATGGGGACCATGGCTAAGTCTAAAATATATACATCTTTGAAAATGTACTCATAAATCACATTTGATTAATTACCTAGAAACCATATGACTTACGGAGAAAGTGTGTTGAATAAAAATGCATTTCATTTTTCTCTACAACTGACTGAAATACAAGGTGGGGCGCAGAAACTTCCTTTTTGTGAAGATGCATTGTGAAGGGCGGGAGTTTGCAGAAAAGTGGGGATAGGCTCTGCGAACGCAACAGTCGCGGAAGTTTCTGTCTAATACCCCTCAGTAGGAAACATGAGGTGAACGAGTGAGCAGCGTGCGTTTGCTGTCGAAGCCTATTTTTCAAATAACCATTCCTAAGTGGCGGTGCAGCGTGCGTTCCGTACTCACTTGGGAATTAAGCCCAGAGGTCCGGTTCCCGACCGGAAATCGATTGTTTTGTGGGTAGAGCACTTTAGGACACCCGGGAGTGTGGTGAAAAAATCATCAGGACGACAACGGACGGTTACGACGCCAGAAAATGTGGAGGCAGTTCGACAGTCGATTTTGAGATCTCCAAGATGCACGGCTTGCAAACATGCAGTCACCCTAGAGAAATCCAGTCGTTCAATGCACCGTATTCTTCACGAATATCTTCATTTCCATCCCAATAAGATGGTTGTTGTGCAAGAATTGTCACCATGTGATTTCCAGAACCGAATAACGGCGTGCGAAACGTTATTGGAAACTT